TAAAGAACTCACAAAAGTATCTTGAAGATCTGTTACAAAGATTGTACGTGAATAATTGTCTGTCGATATCAACTCGTTTAGCAACTATTGAAAAGTTACAAACTGAATGATGGTGCAATCAATCTAAATTTAAGATTTATGCAAGAGCCTAATAAGATTTAATATGCAACAACAAAATGAATTTGTAAGATATTTATAATGAACGTAGAAAATAAAAAATGTGCTATGTCAAAAAAAAAAAGCTCGTTAACTACTCCTATAATAATTAGGCAAACTTGATTAATGATTGAATAGTATGTCAAGTTACTTATTTTGTGTCGGCTCCAAAATTATTTCATAGTCATCAAATAAATAGAAGCCACTAATCACCATTTAATCAATAGAGGCAGTATATATCACAACAACTAATGCAATACGTGAAGTAGTATGGTTTATAAAAATCTTGTTCGATTTGTAAGAGAAATGAGACAATTCAACAATTAATTACTACAATAACTTATCTATTGTCGCTATGGACCAAAAATCTAGTATTTCATAACAAAATAAAGCATATTGAGTTATGATATCACTTTACCAAAAATCACGTGCAAGAAGAAAATTCAGTTGGAATTCATGACTTTTTTTTTTACACTCGCGATTTCAAAATTTTCATCTTTCTTTTTTTTTTTTTTAAGAAAACATTGTTTTGCACCATTTATTTATCAATTTAAGTATTTGCAACTTTTAGGCTCTAAATTGCGTAATATCATCTAGATCACCTATAACTAGATACTCAACATACTATAGTAAATAAATTTTTATATGTCGTGATGCGGAACCCAAGATTAACAACGTCATAAAAAACTAAAGCGTATACAATTAGCATCAAATATTAAATTTTTATATAAATGATTTCTACTTAACTCACTATTAATTATGTGATAGGAACTAAGATAATAGAGATAATTGAAATAATTAAAATGCTACAAGAAAAACTTTAATAAGTTAAAATCAATTTTAAAAAAAAGATTGATAAAAATACTATAAATTACTTTGATAAGTAGACACTAATTCTTTACTTAACAAAAAAATTAAAGAAAACCTCATTAGTTGAAAAGGTAGAAAGATTTGTATTTTATTATTATAAAACTTGATGTTTATAATCACGAAGTAAATGTCTATTGATAATTATAAGTCATGTGAAATAAAAGAAAATAAATTTCATAAATTAATTATAATAATTACTGAGGAAATCAAATCAAAGAATAAGAATAAAATTACATATAAGAAAATTATGATCAAAATAAGTAGATACATTGTTTTTCCTTTATAAAATCCTCTTAATAGTGAAGATCTTTATTAATTGTGGAGATTTTTAAGTGAAGAATATGGAAAATTAGGCAACTTTGGGGGGGG